AAGGTCAATAGTTCTGGATCACAGACTTTGTCTTTATCCAAACAAACATTATTTATTCATAACCACACTTAAAAGTTAAAACATCACATCAAAAAATATCATATTATTCTAAAAATAAAACTAACATATATATATATATATATATATATATATATATATATATATATATATATATAGAGTCAAGATCAAATAAGAAGGAAATTTTTGGTAGGAAGGTAAGAAGTTTTTTTTCTACATATTTTTTTCGCGAACAAACAAAATGAATCATTAGATGATTCATTTATAAGATGATTCACAAGAAAAAATTCTCAAAAAAACATCTCGATGATTCATTTATACAATGATTTTGTTGTTATTCACTAAAATTGTCATAAAAGTGAATTTTTTCTTAATTTACTTAAAAATGAATCATAAAGATGTTTTTTTGAAAATTTTTTCTTGTGAATCATCTTACAAATGAATCATCTAGTGATTCATTTATTTTGTTCGTCAAAAAAATATGTAGAAAAAAAACTTCTTACCTTCCTACCAAATAAAAAATTCTTACCGGATCTATATCCTATATATATATATATATATATATATATATATATATATATATATAATTGTATTGTTTTAAAATATAACATTTACAAATACGAATAAAGATCAGGTGGGCTCGGACTCGACGTCGTTTTCTAAGCCACCCGGTTTTAGTGGGAAAAGATTTAACGAGGAACATAGTGAGCCAATCCCTTATTCTCAGCTGAAACAGAAACAGTCTCAGAAGGACCACGCCTCATCATTTTCACATACTTCTAGTTTTTCAAGAAAACAAAATTCTCAGTTTTTGAACTTTGCTTTTTTGGAAAATGAAGGTAAGTCTTTATTAGATGGTGTAGAAAAGTATTTAATTATTGCCAAAGCTTTGGGTCATGATATGATTGGGACAAAAACTGAAATGCAAAAACTTTTAGCTAGTCTGGGTGTGAAACAGGTAGATCCATGAATATTTTGTCTTTTAATATTTGTGGAATGGGATCGGTGAAGAAAAGGAGAAATATCAATAAGCTGTGTACGAAGCATGGCATAAGTTTCTTGTGTATGCAAGAAACCTTTCTCACAAAGGTTGATTTATTTAAAATACGGATGGTTTGGGGTAACAATCAATTTGACTTTGCTTCAAGTCAAGCTCGGGGACATTCAGGTGGTTTATTGTGTATTTGGGATCCTAACGTATTTGTTAAAAGAAGAATTCATTGTGCAGATCACTTGGTGATTATTGAAGGGAAGTGGATTAATTTTGATTTTCCAGTTTTTATGGTCAATGTTTACGCTCCTCAAGGTGTTCAAGCTAAACAGGATCTTTGGTCTTTTATTGCTTCGTTTATGAGTCATAATACGGGTGAGTACATTATCATGGGAGATTTTAATGCAGTTCGTTACGTGGATGAACGGAGGGGTACTACGTTTTGTCAAGTTACGGCGGATCAATTTAATAGTTTTATTACTGATAATAATCTTTTTGATATTCCTATGGGTGGTTTCAAATTTACCCATTGTACCAGAAGCGGTGATAAGATGAGTAAATTGGATCGTTTCTTGGTCACTGAAAGGGTTGTAGAGTTGTTTCCAAATATCATGGATCTTGCGTTGGAAAAATCGATCTCTGATCACAGACCAATTATTTTAAAAAGTGAAAATATTGATTACGGGCCATCGCCGTTCAAAGTCTTTGACTCGTGGTTCGATATGAAAGGCTTTGATGAAGCTGTTCGTCAATCTTGGGCTAACTTTCAAGGAGATAAAAGTGCTAAGGTATTTATTTACTTTCAAGATAAACTCAAGCATTTAAAAGTGAAAATCAAAGAATGGCATGGGGCATACGACTTGGCTGTTAAATCCGAGAAAAATATCATTTATTCAAGGTTGGGTGAAATTGATAAACTAATGGATCAAGGTTTTGGTGATAACCTTCTAGCGATTGAGAGGAAAAATCTCATGTCTTGAATTTATGACATGGAGAAAGCGGAGGTTAGTGATTTGGTTCAGAAGGCTAAAGTTAAATGGTCCATGGAGGAGGACGAAAACTCTAAATTTTACCACGACATTTTGAGAAAGAAAAAGGTATTAGGGTAGAGGATGAATGGGTCACGAATCCTATAAGGGTTAAGGCTGAATTTGTTCAATTTTATACAGACAAATTCGCACACTTTCAGGGTATTGATATTTCAAATCGTAATTCTCGGTATCAGACTTTGAATTCCGATCAGGTCTCTTTTCTTGATTCGATTTCGTTGCTTGACGAGGTGCGTCAGGCGGTTTGGGCTTGCGGGAGTGATAAGGCCCCCGGTCCGGATGGCTTCACATTTTCTTTTGTGAAGAGATATTGGGACATTTTACAATATGACATACGGGTTCGTCCATCACTTTTTCTGTTCGAATTACATCCCTTCTGGATGCAATTTGTCTTTTATTACCATGATCCCAAAGATTGTTAACACGTTGTATATTAAAGATTACAGACCCATTACGTTAATTGGTCTTCAATATAAGGTGATTGCTAAGCTTTTGGCTCTTCGGTTGGCGAAAGTGGTTGACTCGGTGGTTAACTCGGTTTAGTCCGCTTTTGTCAAAGGTAGACAAATTTTGGATGATCCCCTTATAGTGAACGAAGTGGTCGATTGGTGTAAGATAAAGAAAAAGAAACTCATGATTTTAAAAGTTGATTTCGAGAAAGCTTATGATTCGCTTTGTTGGAATTTTCTTTTTAAGATTATGGGGTTTATGGGTTTTTCCGATTTTTGGATTGGTTTGATTCGTGCGTGTTTGGGTAATAGTCGGTCCTCAGTTCTAATTAATGGAAGTCCGACTGACGAATTTAACTTAAAAAGAGGTTTAAAACAAGGAGACCCTCTCTCTCCTTTTCTTTTTATTTTAGCTATGGAAGGTTTACATGTTGCCATTGAAGACGCGGTTGATGTAGGTTTCTTTCACGGTATTCAAGTTGGTGAAGCGAGAATTCTTATGTCACATTTATTCTATGCCGATGATGCGATTTTCTTTGGAGAGTGGTCTAGAGATAATATTATTAATTTGGTGGCTATCCTTCATTGCTTTTATATGGTTTCTGGGCTTCAAATTAATCTCCATAAATCTAACTTGTTTGGAGTTAGTGTTTCTCATTTGGAGGTCGATCAATTTGTTGCGATTACAGGATGTAAGAGTGCGAAGTTTCCTTTCACTTATCTAGGTCTTTCGGTTGGTGACATTATGTCTAGATTTTCGAGTTGAAGGTTGTCATTGACAAGTTCAAAAAGAAACTTGCTTCATGGCAACTTCGTTTACTTTCTCTTGGTGGTCGTTCTTTGCTTTTGAAGTCAGTTTTAGGTTCCTTGGGTATTTTTTATATGTCCTTGTTTTGCATGCCTAGAGTCGTGAATAGTTTTCTGGAGAAAGTTAGAGCGGGTTTTTTTTGGGGTGTTGAGAAAGGAGACCGAAAGTTACATTGGGTAAATTGGGACACGATCTTGGCTAGTAAACAAAAAGGAGGTTTAGATATTGGTTCTTTAGATGCGTTTGATAAAGCCCTAATTCTTAAGTGGAAGTGGAGGTTTTTGACTGATAATGGAGCTCTATGGGTTAATGTGTTGAAATCGATTCATGGTAGAGATGGTGGTCTTGGTTGGAGTAATGGTTCGGGTTTACAAAGAGGGGTTTGGCATAAAATAGTTGGCACTATAAATCAGTTGCATGACTCGGGAGTAATTCAGAGGAATTCTTTTAAAAGGAGAGTTGGCGATGGAGCTTTTACTTTGTTTTGGAAGGATCATTGGATTGGTCAATGTCCATTGATGATCCGGTTTCCTAGACTATTTTTGTTGGAGTCGAATAAAGATTGCAACATTTCGGAGAGGTGGAATGGGCAAAATTGGATTTGGAATTGGATCAGGCCTATTGAAGGGGGTACGACTTTCGCTCACTTGCAACAATTACAATCTACTATTCTTGAGTACTCTTTCTCGGGTTTAAGCGATAGGTGGATTTGGGACTCGGGTGGCATTGAGGTTTTCACAGTTGCTGAAGCACGTAGAGTTATTGATGATTCTACTCTCCCTGATGGAGTATGTAGTACAAGGTGGAATAAGTATATCCCTCGTAAAGTTAACATCTTCTATTGGCGATGTCGGTTAAAAAGACTTCCAACTCGTGTAAATTAGGTCGCCAAAGGGTTAGATGTCCCCTCAATGATTTGTTCCATATGCAATGCTGATATGGAAGACAATAACCACTTGTTTATACACTGTAATGTGGCAGTTGATCTTTGGAAGTTTCTTGGTAAATGGTGCGACATTTCTTGCCCGTCGTTTATTCAGATTGAAGACACTGTCACTTGGATTGATTCTCTTAACCTTTCTTTGATTAAGAGAAGTGGATTGGAAGCTATTGTCATGACTATGTGGTGGCTTCTATGGAACTTCAGGAATGATGTTATTTTTGGCGGTCAAAGTGCGAGACGGAATTTGTTAATCGATAGTTTGGTTGATTATTCCTACAATTGGTTTGTTTTTCGTAATAGAAAAATTAGTATCAGTCGTGTTTCTTGGATATTAAATCCTATTTTGTCTATTCCGATGTAATGTTTTGTTAATGGTTCTCTTTCTTTCTAATAATATTTAGCTGTTCGAAAAAAAATTAATAGTGGACTCGTTTTAAAGCTCCTGATAAAAAATTTATAATGATATGAATTGTGATGAATATATATAAAAAAGGAAAGATAAAATTAAATTTATTAGTTATTACCTTACGCAATTCTGCTAATTTTTCAGTGTTGAGTACCCAATCTTCTCCACCAGTCCACTTGGTTATGATTTTACTGAGGGCAGGATTGCAGTAATATATCCATCTTCTTGGTGTCACTCCATTTGTTTTGTTTTGAAATTTCTCAGGTTAATTATGTAAAAGGTCAATATAAAGTAAATTACCCTATAATATACTTAAATTTTGATTTTTTTAATAACTTACCTACCAAGTGAATCTTGAACAGTATGTGCAACAAATGCAAGGTTTAGATTTGCAGAGCCTTCAACGATATCTTTAGGAGCCAAGTATCTTTTGCAATCCATTTTTTTTGTATGCTCGAGTACCAAATTTGCCCTTTCAGTCGGATCCTTGGTATCCAATGTGCCTGGGCTGCAATGTTCTGGTGCAAGAACATTAAGCAGGTAAGCATAAGCTTCTCCATCCTACACACATCATGTACCAAATCACACTGCTGTTAATAAACATGAAAAAAACACAAATGAAAAACAAAGATTTATCTTGAGATCAGATGAGAAATTTGTTACAGGTTTCTTGTATCCTACTTTCTTACAAGATTCGATTTTCAGTGAATAACTTGGTCCAATCAACGTCAACATCAAACTAAACCGGTCTGTGGTTTCTTTTCTAGCGAGGAGATCGGAAAACAATTTAGTGAGAAAATCAGCTCGACTCCGGTGATAATCAGTCCACACACACAAATGCTTGATTGCTTCCCTTTTCTCCTCTTTGAGAACAATTATAGTTTCATGATTCGATTAGGGAGGAAGAGAATGAAAATGTTGTGGTTAGGGGTGATTACCCGATGAACCAGTGGAAGGATTTGGCGAAGCACGCGAATGATGATCCGATTCACGACTAGAAACACAAAGAACCTAAAAAGAATCTAAAGCCAGGGACATATCTAGAAATTAGATTTAAACACGATCTCATCTATCACCACAAAAACACCGATGAACATACTTAGAACTCCAGCCACGGTGAACAAGCTCTGAATAGATCTAGAATCAGAATGATGGATGTGAGAAAGGAAATCGATTGAGAAAGCTCTGAATAGATTTACGTCTAGCATCAAAGAGAAAAAGGTGAAGAGATTTACGGATGTTATTAGTTGTATGGATCGGTAACTTCACTGTATTCGTTTTCTGAAAGGGGTTGCTCCGAGGAGGTTTGTGCCTTCATGTTTGTGGTTAAATCATGGAGGAAATAGACGGAAATCAACGAGGTGTGATCGTTGTGGGGACCGACGTTGATCTGGAAGGCAGAGGGCACCGATATGGAAGGCGGAAGGATCTGATCTAGAAGCAATCGCCGATGAAGCTCTGAAAGAAAGAGAGTCATTGGGTGAGACAATCGATGGATTTGGGAGAAAAAGAATCGATCGGATTTTGGGGGAATGATCTAATTTCCAGATATTTTTTTTCATACCGATAATACCCTTATGATTATGTTTACGGAAACCTAATATACCACTAAAGATAGTCATATTTACAAAATATGCCATTGATCATCTAAGCCATCCAAATAATTGATCCAACGCTCCACTTTTAGTTCTCGGGTTCTCGGGAAACTATGAGTTCTCAAATGATCATTGCTCTCTCTCTCTCTCTCTCTCTATATATATATATATATATATATATATATATATAATATATATATATATATATATATATATATACTAGGTTATAACCCGTGGAAACCACGAGAGGTACATTTAAAAATTTTAGACAAAAAAAATTAATAACTGTTTCCCTTAAAAAAGTAATTTTATGTGGAAGATCAGAAAAAGGTAGTAGACTTTGGGTGTGGATTGTGTCTTGCAACAGATAGTGTGCTAATTTGATAAGCGGGTCCCTCATGAAGTGTTTTTTAAAACTTATAAAATAAGTCTTTAAAACATAGCTTGAATTATAGATCCCTAAAAAAAGTATAAAATACAGCATTAGCAATTAATAAAGAAAACATATATTAAAAAAATTATTAAAATAAAAAATATACATGTTCATCCAAGAAAACCATTTCAATTGACTATTTTTCGTTAGCATCAAATTTAGAATCGAGTGTCCACAACTTCAATATTTTTACTTTGATTGTGAAATCAGATATAACTGGGTCAATGTCTTTTATGGATGTAATATTTTAAGTAGCCATATTGCTGTAAAAAAAATTAGAAAAGTAAATCTTTAGTAAATCAACATCCCAAATTATTGAAAAAGATACACAATAATGATATTTAGTGAATTTGAAACGAAAACAGATACACAATAACGATGTACCCTTGTGAAAAATATTGAAAAAGAAATGAGGAATTAGATTCACTTCTTAATGTTATAGGATGTAGTTCCTAAATATCCTTGTTGTTGAATTAGCTATAGCTGCATAAGAAAGCATTCTTCTATAACTATGTAGTACATTAATGTGCTGGAGTTAATGGGTGTTTCTTTTTGACATGATGCTTAATGTAGAAAAATTGAGAATCGGAATCAGAAATGAGAATATGCATTTTTGTATATTTAAAATCAGAAATGGAATATGCTTTTTATAGCCCTTTCTAATTCAAATATCATAACTTTATCATGCTGCATAGTACTAAATCACATCTTCTGATTGATGTTCTTTTATGTAAATTTCAATACTTTAATATCGACACCTAATATTTTGCACTTTCTTGTGTCAGTTGATGAGAATTTATTTTAGGAATCCACAGAGGGGTTGGACTCGATAGAAAGTAAGTAATAACCCTTAAATATCTTTTATTTTTCATGACTTGCATGAAGAAATACTATTGTACTTTTTTTGGGCTTAATGGAATTAATGGGTGACTTAATCCAGTAAACTATAGTATAAATGGGTGTTCTTTTTGACTTAATGCAAAAAAAATTGACTTAGCTTAAAAAATTAGGAAACTGAGGCTTTCTGCCATTAAGTCCTAACTTTTTGATAAATTTTCCTCATACATTATTTTTCAATATCCTTTTTATCTTTATTCGTTTGAAATTCCAGTAATTTAACAACAAAGTTACTAAGACACAATAAAAAGACCAAAATGCACTTTTCCCTGATTTCCTACGTTTTTTCAATAATTTGTACAAACATAGCAACTCAGGTGCAAAGTGAAAATGGTTAAAGCAATTAAGATGTTAGAAGTTACAAAGACCAAAATAAGAATGTTCATAATAAATGTACGAAAATACCCTTTTCCTAAATTTCCAAAACAATTTTTTTAACAGCGTGAAAGAAAACGACTTTACTCTTTTATTTAAACGGAGTCATTTACCACTTAGTTAATATGCACTTTAAGGTGATATAAATCCAATCATACTTCATACAGAAGTCATGGTGTTGGTTTTGTTCATAAAAGAATGGATTTTTACTGAATTTGAAACGAAAACAGATACACAATAACAATTTACCCTTGTGAAAAATATTGAAAGTAGCATGCTTATTCGTTTGAAATTCTAGTAATTTAACAACAAAGTTACCGAGACACAATAAAAAGACCAAAATGCCCTTTTACCAAATTTCCCATGTATTTTCAATAATCTGTACAAACATAGCCAAGTCAGGTGCAAAGTGAAAATGGTAAAGGAATTAAGAAGTCATATGTAGTTACAAAGACGAAAATAACAATGTTTCATAATATATGGACAAAAATGCCATTTTCCTAAATTTCCAAAACAATTTTTTTAACAGCAGGAAAGAAAACCATTTTACTCTTTTATTTAAACGAAATCCTTTACCACTTAGCTAATATGCACTCTATGATGATATAAATCCAATCATACTTCATACAGAAGTCATGGTGTTGGTTTTGTTCATAAAAAAATGGATCGAACAATCCACTTTGAAAAATATATTTATCAAGAAATTGAAGAAGAAATATAACTGACTGAAGTGGGATGCGTTTTAATAAGCAGATAAGAATATTTGCTTTCTTTTTTTACTAATTTTACAACAAAAATAGCAACAGATACACATACTCCGTATGTATTTTATTGTAAAAAAGCATATCTTATTGTGAAATTTTGTAGAAAAATGAATAATGGATTCAGAAGAGATATTTTTAGAAAATTGAAAGTACATTGGAATTAATGTATTTCCAGAAAAATGTTATAAATATTGGTTTATGAAGATGAACTAACCGGTTTTGTTATGATGTCACGTCTGCAGAAATCGTATTGTTGAAGATGATAAAGCAAAATGACCTTCGACAATGGGAATGAAAATTGAAGACTTGATACTGATATTGAAATAAAAAGGGAGAGAAAATATTAATTTCAAATTGCTGATTTCTTGAATTGATCTCAAGGCCTTAAATTGCTCAGCAATTTGAATTGAAAGTTCCCTAGATAGAATTCAAGAGCAGTAAAGAAAAATAAGCATAAAATCAATCGAGTTTCCAAACAAAATACCAAATCCACAAAAACCTTGATGGAAAATGTATGTAGAAAAACCTTGGAGCACCAAACACTATATTGTATTACAATTCGAAATAAAACTTGGAAAGTTAAAATGATCACTAACCCATTGAAGGGAAGGTAAGACAGAATGAATACAAATAACTTTTAATTCCAAAGTTCTCCTGGGCATTTTATCGAACACCTACAATGCAATAATAAGGAAGGAAGAAACGCCATATTGTGAGTATCAAAAATTCAAAACAAATTTAACTAAAAGCATATTAGTTCTTAAACCATAAGAATATCAAGATATCAAAGAAGTTGATAGCAATATATTTGTCGAATGGCCACTAAAGTTAACACAAAACCCGTAAATAGAGCAAAGAAAACAAACCATCAAACATGTTTAACCAATCGATCGAGAATAGGAAGCATGAAGCCATAACTTAGTTACATCCATTTGGGTTTCCATCGATGTACTGAGAAAGAAAACAATAATTAAAAATTCATAGATATAACAAACCCTCGATCATAATGTGTTTGTAAATAGATAAATGAAGAAATTACGCTTCAAGCTTCAAAGATTCTGATCTTGATTGTGGGAAGTGGAGCAGATCAAAAGTGAAATACGAATAAGAGGGGGAGGGGTTTGAAATTTGAAAATCCAAATCACTCCTCAATCAATGATTTTGTTGTTGAATTGTCAGGTAATAAAATAGTTTCTATTTGAAAATCCTAATTTGTAGGGACTAAATAAAAATTAAAGACAAACGAATTAGAGAGAAACTTTTAATAAGAAGATGCCATGTGGCAAAACAGAAGTTAGAAAAGTGCCATGTGGCATTTAAAGGATTCATTTATTAGAGGAGGTAGATATATATATATATATATATATATATATATATATATATATATATACTAGGCGAATGCCCGCGCGTTGCGTGGGATATAAAAAAATATTTTATATTAAAAATAACTAAATCATTGTTATTAACAATTAAATAATAATTTCATAAAAAATATAAAAAATGATTTTTAGTATTGTTATTATGTTGAACTATATTATAAGAGATAAGGTTGGAACTTGAAGTTGTTTTGCATATACAAAGTTATATGATTAAAACAGAAAAAAATTTAATTTTTAAAAATAAATAAATCGTTATTGTTATCTATTAAATAATAATTTCATATTAAATTAAAACGTTTATATTAAATATTATCATTATGTAGAAAATACGATAATAGATACATCTTTTTATCTATCTTAAATTTTATCATTATGTACAACATATGATAATAGAGACAACTTTTTATCTTAAATAGTAAAAAAATGTTTTGTATCATAAATATTACCATAATTATGTAGAACATATGATAATAATGACGTCTTTTATAAGGTTAAAACTTTAAATTGTATTACATACAGGGTTGTAAAACTTGGCTAACATAACCAAATAGTCGGCATGTTACTTAAACTCGGCCTCCAATGGAAGCGAGTTTGCCTAACTCAGCCAGAAGACACTCGGATCCTTATTAAATTCGATCCAAATCTAAAAGATACGGTCCAAAATCATTTTTGAAATTCTGAAATTTAATTTGGTCACTTGTCGACAAAGACAATCACCAAAGAATACACTCAACGTCCTACAAAGTTAGATGCAAGGAAGATTTCATGGCTTAGTCCCTTTGAAATATTTCACAACCTTTCCTATTTATAGAGGATAATATATTCTCTTGTTTACTCTCACGATCAATGTGGGATGAAGACATTTTAATTAAACTCATTTCTTTATTTGCGAATAATTTCATTTTGTTAAATAAAATATTAAATAATAAAAATAAAACGTTATCTAGAAACTTTATTGTTCAATAGTTCCATTTTTCAGTACTCTCGTAAGTTGCTATAAAAAATTAAGTTTTTATTGAATAACTTTTTGTTAA